TAAGCACTAGATTCTAATTTGCATTTCCACCCTTAACATCTTACATCCTCTATCCTTAATATTGAGTTGAAACTCACAAAATTGCCATTTTTGTATCTCGAAAGTGGTCAAATATCAGCAATTTCATATGATCCAACCTAAGTAAAATGCCCAACTAATACAGAAAGAAAGGAGAGGGGGGAGAGAGGGAGAGAAACTTGCATTCAGGTGGAATCAAGAAAAGGGGCCACCCTCATGCCATAAAATCGGAGACAGATACTGTGCAGGTGAAACTCAAAGAATTCAACAAGTACTGACCTGCAACTGCCCTGCATGAAAAATCAGCCTGGAGCCCCAAGTCATAAAAAGAGAAGAGTCTGAGAGATTCTGGCAACAAACCCTAATCTGGAGGGCAAAGGTCTGAAGCAAAGCTGAATCTTGAGACAGACAATCGAAGTCCCCATTCTCCTCCCCCATTCTCCTCCCTCGGGGTGTTTCATGAGCCCATCCTGCAGGAGCCTCTCCACCCCTAGGCCTTGACTGCAGCAGAGAGCAGCTCCCTAATTAGGATGCACTGGGATAGAGCCAAGCATGGCCTCACCTTACCAAAGGCGGCAGGCAGCAAGCCCAGTTTCCTTCTGAGGTGGCTGGACTCTTTCCTACAGTCTGTGAGTCTTGCGAAGCAGCACCTTCAGATAGGCCAAGACTCCTAACTGGCTTACAGGCCACACAAAAGGAAGCTAGATGCAGAAAGCCAGCCACAGGTACCTCATCTGACAAACAGCAGATACTTTACAGATCTCCTAATCTTCCCACAGCCCCAAGCTCCTCTCTTCCCCTCAGCCAGTCCTATTCATAACCTGGGCATCTTCCCCATCTGGTGGGTTCTTGTTGATTATGCAGTCATGTTGATCATGAACCAAGTTGTTCAACAAAGGACATGAGGAGAAATCTATCAGCTATCTTTCCTGTTTGCAGGCAATACTATCTGACGCTGGAGGGGAAATGTATTGGGAGACTGTCCTGGACACAGAGTACTAATGACAGGCAAAAGTCCAGGCTTAACAAAAGGCTGGAAGAAAACAAGAGGCCATGCTATGGGGACCACAGGGGCCATGTCACAGGACAGGAAGAGTCTTGCGAATGCACCAGTGCTGTGAGGGATGACCTGCAACCTTCTCTCCATGTCTGCTTCCCTTCCTTACACATCTGTCTACCCTCACTTCACTCTCTAAAAATTCAAAGCCCTGGAAAATAATACACAGACTAGCTAAGCTCAGGTCATAGCTGGCCTGTATGACCTGGGGCAGGCAGGTGGAGGATCTGATTTCTGTGTGTGAGAGACCATTTTCCCAAAGGAGATCTGGTGGAGTAAATGTCGGCCAGCCATTACTAACTAATACCCACAGCAAGG